TAAACAGGCAACAGATCAAGGGATACCTCTGGATAATCAGCAGTGGATCCGATTTCAGCAGAGACGAGCAGGTTGGTACAGAACGACCAGCTACAAGGCAGGTTTGTTTCCTATATTAATAAATATTGTTCTCTCCTTTAGCTTGATACAGTAACAATAATAATTACTTTCTGCACAAACAATATATAATACATACACAATATTGTCTAAATAATGTGAGACGAACACTCTACCATGGCAAGTAAAGCAATTACTTACTTAGTTGTGTTTTAAATATTTTCAAAGGATAGATACATGTAGACAGACATATTAGAGACGATTTCTAGCGAAGGGTATATGTTACAATGAAGCAATACACATACTAGCGGTAAGTTTAATGTATTAAGGTAAGTATATAGAATTGTATAAATATGAACTTTATTTTATAGCACTTTTAACTTATCACTCATGTTAGCCCGGATGTTAGCGCGCGTGGGATGTGGGAGGACACCAGAGTACCCAGATAAAAAAAAACTTTGTCGGGCAGGTGACCCCATACCTTTTCACGTCCGATCGGGGAATCGAACCCCGACCGTTTTCGTAAGAGGCGAGTGCGCTACCCACTGCGCCGACCGCCATAGCATATACAACTACAGAGATAGCTTTATTTAGCTACTAGCATACGACATGAGCTTTAAAATCACGGTAATGATTTATTGCTTTACACAAGTTACAACAGTAATAAAGGTATCTATTATCAATATGATGGCTTTATAAACTTCTGCAAAGTTCTACACACCACCTGCTGTTTGGCTTCATGAGTAACATTTGTCGACAATTAGGTTATCATATCACTGTCGAAGAAATCCAACTGAACACTGTTCCGTATGAATATTCATGGCTGCCGTTACATTGTACGTCATCGTGTGTATACCTACACATATGAACAGTCAACTTTGATTCTTTAATATCATTACAAACTACACGTATACATGGCTCTATATGACATTTAAGACTAAACCACGGAGAGAGAAAAGGGATTCAGTCCTTGTCATTTTCATTCGTGGAAAAATATTTTTCATTCAATATATTTCTTAACTTATGTAACACACATACTACAACAAACGGAAAAGAGGAGACATCACAACAAAACAAAATTGTAACTAACGGAAATGAGGGGACAGTAAAATAAAACCGCAAAGGCAATCAACAGAAATGAGGAGACAATAGAACAAAATGCACAAAGACAAACAGAAATAAAAAACAAAGAGAAATCAAAGACAAAGAGAAATCAGTGACAAACAGATATCAAAGACAAACAGAAAAAAGGGACATGAAGAATGTCGGATCAACGCTGTAATCAGGAAGTGGGAAGGGGTTATCCGGAAATGTAAGCATCCCTTTACCATAAATTATCACTAGAAATTCAAAGTAAGAAAGAAATAATCTGTTTCACATTTAACAAGTCTATGCAGTAAGCTAAAATGTTAACAATAACATATGGCCATTTAAACAGTCGAAAAGAAGAAGAAATGCCTACAAAACCCTTTCTATGAAAACTAAAGGCTACCACGTTTGGCTGCAACAAATAATTCATTCTTTAACTGGTAGTTCATATATACCTTGTCAGAATGAATCGCATCTACCAGGTTACAGCCAACCGCTGGGTCCGAGCTTTCTGTCAGAAAAAAATATTGTATGGATGATATCTCTGTTGGTATTTTTATCCTGTGTATATTCGGATGTTTAACAAAATAAGCATCAGTTAAAAACTGTCAACAAATGTTTCGTGTACGTTTGCCTGTTTTAAACAGAAAGTGTATAGACCATATTCCAAGCAAGGGAAAAATGAAAATAAATATGTTGTGTTTAAGGAAAATTGTACAACTTCACCATTCATAATCGCGAAGTATTCTTCAACGAGTTTTTGTTTTCACCTACACAGAGAAATTTAAACAAGAAATCAAACTTTTGCCTGGCTTTTATTTACTTACCTTGTCAAGAAATTCATCCATCATTTTATTGCTGCGAGTTTGTTTGTCCTAGATAGCGACATTGGTAGGATTGGTGGCGGATAGGTAGGGGATTTAACGTCCGATCATTGTTAATATTTTGTTTAATAACTCAAAGAAGGCAATCCTTGATACTTATAAAACAGGGGTGATATATGAACAAAGGAAAGGTTCACAGACACCCTTAAGTAGTACAAGGATCATAAGACCAGGTTGTCCGGAAGGATAAGCGCCTTCTGCTAGATCAAATCCAAGTAAAGTCACTTCCTCAAAATGAAAATATTGGATAGTGACAGTGAAATAACTTAGCTATACTTAAAACGCAGGCATTTATGTCTCACAAGAAAATTTAAAAAAAATCCTATTTGAGCATGATCAAACCGTAAAACTTGTCCACAATCTTCATCAACATGCGTCCTTCGAAACTCCATCATGTAAGTTTAGCTGTTACCATTTGATATCTGTAACATGTGTACACCCATGTCGGGGAGCAAGAATGTTACGAACAAGAAAGGGAAAGTTAGCGATCGGAATATCGGAATCATCACGTTTTTCGTACAGCTTAGTTGTAAGCAATCGCTGTTGATCATGCTGTAAGTAAAGATCAAGGTGAGCGGCTGATGTAATATTGTAATGGTTTGTAGCTATAGATACAACGTCTGCCACGATGAATTACTTAAATAAAGTTAGAAACACAGGGACGACATGTTGTGACAACTCAAGCCATGTGTATTCAGAGAGAGCATGTCATACAAGTGACAATTTGCATAACCAGGCAAGGCGGTTCAGAGGTCAAAGTGCATAGGTCACAGTTCACTTCAGTTCAACATACATTCAATTCGATGCCTGATGTAATGGCATCCGGCATAACGTTACAGTAAATTAAGGAGGGTATATAGATGTAGATTATATATGTATGTATACACATCATCGATATATCTAAAAGTAAAAACAAAATACAATTTCAGGAATAGCAAGGTATCCGTTACCTTGCTAATTAAGTTCTTCAACACATTCAGTCACATGTGAAGCATAAGCAGGTCGATCGGTCAAGAGGCGGACACAGTTTGTTTCCTCAGATAACGCAACAGTACCTAAACAGTCGAACTCTTGGGGCTTAACGTCCTCGAAACAGCGAGAGTCATATGAGGACGGATATTCAGGAAGACACCGGCGGAAACAGAGAGTGGATAAAAAAGAAAGAAAACGGGAAAGATGACAAAAACGAAAGATTCTGCAGGGGGCACATTAGTTGTCTCTTGCGATCATGTAGTAGGATAGAGCGGGCCTTCCCCCGACCCTGCACGGGTAGGTAATATTTATCAGGAATTGACCCTTCTCAGGGTTCATTCTCGACATATTTTATCTTTCCTTTGTCGTGTTTGGAAAAATACGTTTGAAATTATTCCACTGCAATATATTCATATAAAATTGCGATTATTATAATTCTGTTAAATGCATTGCTAGTGTATATAAATTTAATATCTGATATTTCTCTAAAAAGTGACGTGAAGTAAAAAATTTCAGAATAATGACGGCGGTAAAATTATCTTGGAACTTGATTGTACTTTTGACATTATTTGAATTTTAACATATATAGCATAGCAGACAGACATTGTTGTGTTCTGGTCCGAAATAAATATCGTGTTCTTTTAGTTCCGTTACATGAAATAGGGCTACATAATAAGATATGTATATATACATATACTATATATCATTGTGTTCTGACGTTATAAATAGCCGAAACATTGTAATATAAACAGACATTTCAACAGTCCATACAATTAAATTCTATAAACAATTCTAGAAATTCGAGATAACCCTAAACAAAAATCGGAATTATCAAGACGGCATCGGTTTCTGTTGTTGTTATCGCCATCGGGGTTTCCACACACAATACCGAGAGTAAAACAAACAGTGCGCTTGTGGGACCAGCGACGCTCGTGTTTACACGAGATTTGAAAATAACGGCTTTTCTGTCGTGTAAATCAGGGTACCGTGATAGTAAGCCTACGAGGAAAGACGATTCCAGAAAGCTCTTGAAGTTTGTTGTTGTTTGGATAGACCTTACATTCCGGCGGATAAGTCGGCACTGGTTATCTGTCGCCGGAGAACTCTCCTGCCATAGAAATAGATATAGCGCTAGTTCGGTTGATATGTGACTGAATTCACGATGTTCACAAATGTATAATATTTAACAAACATCTTCAACCTTTGGTATACACTTCTATAAATGAAGATGAAATGTTTATGTACAGTATGCAGTGTTCGTGTCACGTGTAATATGGCATAGACTTTTAGAAATATTTTTTTTTTCTGTTGCAATGTTATTTTATTCCGCCATGTTTGTTGCACATATACATATGTGATTTCCTGTAACTCAATTGCATGTGTCCGAAAGGGAAAGTACAATTTGTGAAATGTGTGATAATGTATATTAAATGAATGTTTAGCAGATCATCTCGAAATATAAGCATATCATAATGTATATGTATAGATTTATCTATAGCACATTTTAAACTCATAATGGTGTCAAGATAACCTCCTTGTTCTGTATATATTTCATACATATAAATATTAGCATATACATGTATAACGAAATCTGATTAATATCTCTTCAGAAAAAACCACGTATTATAATGATACAGTTATTTTTAAAATATTGTTTTTTTGTGTGTGCTAAACCGTAACTGTGAACATGACCGGTGTTTATAAAACCAAACTCACATAAAGTGTGTATTTGTATAATATAATAACTTGGCAAACTTACTGACGGATACACTCGCATAACTATCAAAGTTCAATCACAACAAACTTGAAAATACACAGCGGAAGATGAAACTGTTTCTGCAGCTATCGTATGCTAATCCGTAGTAAGTTTCTAAAATTATAGTTTTGCGGTCATCATGTAAGTAATTAACACCACATATTTGCATACTAAGGCGTTCCTCTGTCATGTACAGCGTTGCTCCGAGCCAATAGTTACAGTTAAGTCCAGTCACGTGGTCCTGAGGTCATACTTCAAACGTGGCCGTGACAAGGTGGCTGCTGATGGATGTGGAGGCCTCCCGAGAGCCGTCCCTTCGTGAATCTTACTATAAAATAAACCATGGATCACTTCTGATCGCTCACGTAAAGAAAGTGTCAGTCAACCAGCGCCTTGTATATATGCTTGTAGGTGATACCCATCGTCCCAAGACACCGACACAGAACTCCACAGAACTCACGCTATGACTTCCGAGTCTTCATGATTCCTAGGTTTAGTGGCACGGCTACGGACATGTCTTGGTCATTCAAAAATGGCGTAGGTCTAACGGACTTACGGTTATGAAAGTAGCTCCAAATCAGTGTCTGCACTTTTATTCAAAGTGACACCATGCCTCGAAGAAAGAAGGAATTACAATCAAGTGACGATGATGACTCAAAACAGCAAAAACCTGTTCAAAGAAACGCAGCAAATGCGCGTGAACGATCACGCATGCGGATACTGAGTAAAGCGTTTGTAAAATTGAAGACCACCCTACCCTGGGTACCCGCAGACACTAAGCTGTCTAAGTTGGACACTCTTCGTCTTGCGTCCAGTTACATTGCTCACCTACAACAGGTACTGGATGCTGAAGATGAAGAAGGGGCTGAACTACCCTCATTCCATCCTCTCAATCTGGTGAGTTATATTGTACTTAACACACATCCTTGATCTGGTGAAGTATTTAGAAAATCAATATTCCCCTCAATATTCCCCTCCTTCTATTTTCACTTTCTGGTTAATTGTCATTTAAAAACTGATATTACATAAAACATAACAACAATATTTTAAATGGTTTTTTAATAATAAGATCTCACCGAGACCATCATTGCTTACAACTAATGGTTTATGAAATGACAAAAAAACAAATCCACTTTTTTTACCTTCCATAAATCATAGCTTTACCCTTTATAGAGAATAAAGCTATGATTAATGGATGGTATTATTACTGGTACATCAGTGTGAAAGCCTGCCATCTTCACCGTCCAACATTGTTAATATATGTATAATTAATTAATTAATTGAAATTGAAATTGCTTCTTGATATAATTTGTTTATGTCATTTGCAAAAACGTTTGATTATGATATGATACAATATAAGCCTGTTTACAGTCATATATAGAAAAAAGATGTATTCTTGTAAGATTATACTGGAGTAAAGATGATACAAATACGATGATTTTATAAAAAGATAATTTACTCTTTATCGCTTCCGTTCACTCTCTACAGTTCAAGCATTATACAAATCAACTATATATTATTTGTCGAATATATTCATCATGATATTTTGACGGTGAATTTACACAAACTTAACAAATTCCATTTAAAATAAATTGAACAATTGAAAAACACTAACGTTTGATTAACTTTTTTTTACTTGAAATCAAACTTACCATCGACTAATGCAGCACATGGATACCCGTTAGTTATATATTATGTGAAATCTATAATTGTTATAAAGGATATTGATTCCACCTCTATCAAAGAGGAAGTGAAGAATATGCTTAACACTGCGTTTTAAAAGCAACATTAAAGACATATATAAACTTTTTCTCTCTCTAATTGTCAAAAAGTTGTCATACACAAAGAATTCACGGTTCATGTATAGAAGTAAACCCCGGATAATGATTTCATCAAAGATGAACCACATATTACACATCTACGAGAATTCAGTGCAACCCAGATATGTATGATTTGTGAATATTTTATCGCCGAAATCAGAAGAGTATAAGCAATTGACTAAAATGGGTGCGATGAGTGTGAGATAACTCACGCGCACAACATTCCAGCTAGTGAGAGTTGTTTTAATTCGGAGGTTTAATGACAGCTGATCCGACAGAAGTGCGAGAAACCCGATCTACAACGTTCTGATAGAATCTCAGATTTTTCGGTCTGTCAACACTCCAACTGGCTAAAACCAGAAATCTAAATCTGTGTTCCAATTTTATCGAAAGCAAAAAAAAAAAAAAAAAAAAAAAAAGACGTTTTGTAAAGAAAAGATATATTTGTTGTCTATAACTAACACACGAATTAAGATACATGAATTAATAATTCATTTTCCATCCAAATTATTCAATATTGCTTTCGTTCATTAAGAATAAACATTACGTAATATCAGGAAATATTACGACAAAGTGAATCTTGCATTACGCCCTGGCTTGTTCAATCTAACTAAATCTTAGTTATATAGATTACTGTTGGCTTAATACACTAATACAATTTATGTTAATGTTATATTTTATCCAACAAAACAATTATTTTACCGTTTTGTCGTCAAGTAGGTTTTGATGTTGCATTAACACGCTAGCTTGTTTAATACAAATTAGTGGGGGTTAATACACTAGTTAATACAAAGTTATTGGCAGATTTGATATATCTCACTTGTTTTACAGGTCCGATATCATGTCCATCTATATTGCTTTAGCACTAGGCTTTGTTTGATTAAAAAAATAATTCTGTTTAACACACTAGTAAATACAACGTTAATGGTAGCTTTGATACATGTTAGATTGGATACAGTTAACCTTTTTTACATTTAAAAATTCGTGTTAATTGATGTTGCTTCAGCACGCTATCTTGTTTAATATAAATCAATGGGTTTTTTAACGTAATAGTTAATACATGTACAATATAAATGTTAAAATTGATACAACTCAGTTATTTTACATTTCCGCCATCAACAATTTTATACTACCTTCAAATGTATATAGTGTCTAAAAAGACTAGAAGATATCAGTGATAGTTGGTTGTTGTGGTGTTTAAAGTATTTAATGACCCCCAGTGTTGAGATAATAATGTTAATATGTTAAAGATATCCGGGGTGTAACATTTCACTCGTTAATGTAGCACTCTTGTTTTTATTTATTTTTATCAGTAATAACGTAACAGGCTAGTCATGGGTGCCTTATTGGTTTGTGCGATACGACTGTGGTAACGGCGACCATGCTCGGGTCATCTAGGGTGAGACATGTCCATAAATAACGTCAGGGTCCTGTCCTCAACATTACTCCACGCTCCATATCTCAGTAAGGCAGTATTATTTACCACAAACTCATTTTCCATATCAATCCATTTCGCTTGATAATTTAGTTTAATACACTTTGATATTATATAGGTTCTCGTAACTGGAATTGTTTTATAACTTGAACCTTAAATCATGTTTTGTTAGCATAATTTTATATTATATTGAGTTCTTGGTGATTGATTTTTTTATGGGAAGCAAACAATTACATTATGTCCGACAAGGCTGAAATTATTGTTGATTTATTATCAGTGAAATCGATATGGATGTATTGTAACTGTTACTGTGCAATTATTTCACCTTATTAATAATGTTCTGCTCGAAAATTGAATTTACTCGAAAAAAATATTCATTAATTAAAATAACAAAGTTAACTTTGTATATTATAACGTTTTTCTGCTCCCTAGATATTGTATGTATCGTTTGGTTTGTTATATTTTTTACTCGTTATTAAAAGATAATAATTCTAATTGTTAGACATATTTTCTTTGGCTATGAATACATAAGCAATACATTGATAATACAATGTAAAGCAACACCTGTTTGCTCTACTCTGTTCCTTTAAATTGTTACTGAAATGATACTGTAATTTACATATAGTACAATGTATACATATTGTATGAGCTATGGACATCCATTAGGAAATAGCAAACAATCAAATGATATATTCATTAGCTAGTTACAATTTACAATTGCTGTTTTCCGTTCTAAATATTATTAGATATCATTTATTTATATACAATATGAAGTGTTTAAGTATGTTTTGATGCATGATAAATATCACTTGAGTATGGCTGCATCTTTCCAAATTGTAAACAATTGTAAGTACTCTGCATACCGGAGGCCTTACAATCTATACACGCGCGGTATACAGCAACTGCGAGTGATCTGAAGCACGTGACTTGAAAAGCTACGCCGTGTTTACCTTTGATCTCAATATTTATCTTCATATGGAATGTGCAATATTTTACAAGGAGCGATATCTACGCCAATTTGTCCGTGTCCCTTTTCGGCCCCGACCTTTGACCCAGACAGTCTCACTGACCAACACGCCATTAAAACGTCAAACAGTACAAGCGAGATAATTTTGGCAAATTAAAGCATTTGTTCATTCTTTCTACATACATCAAGTTATTGGTTAATTCTGTTGATTAACACTTGAAACACGTACATTGTACGTTACTTTCTTACTGGTTAGTAGTCTGCAAATACACTACATTGTTTAACACTATGGTAGAAAGGCTATTAAATAATTTACATTGTACCACCTTGAATAATAGCATTACAAGAATTACGGGAAACCTATTATGTATGAACCAGAAATTCGATATAAAATATGAAAAAGTATTTCATACTTTAATAAAAGCATGTATGATAAATACCTTTACCCTTCCCGTAAAAATATTTCCCATTTTAGGTTCTGTGAGTATTTTATAATTGGAAATATGTTCATATTTACCTTATATTTCATCAATATTATCAATTTAACAGTAAGACCAAAATGTGATACTACACACGGGAGAACTTTCGCAAAACATACGCCCTACGCTGGTACAAAACATATTCGCCAAGTGTTAATTTCGTTCTTCACCACGATTTAGGCATTGCATTTGAACCATTTTTCACAATTAGAATTAAAAGATTTGTTTATGTTTTACGTGTAATTCTGACACACACAAAAGCAGGTCCTAATACACACACTATTTGTAACTTCACTGAATAAATTAAGAACTCACAATTATTTGTAACGTCACGTGTAACATGTAATACCTCAAGGCAATGACGCCCTATTAAATGACCTCACACAACTTTTCGTACTCTATTTGGTCTATTACCCCAATCTTGTGTTGTCAGCTGTTTAATACGTGTCCAACTTAATAAAGTGAATGTAACTCACTTGTTACTTATGTTTTACTTTAATTAATTAGGACTTATCGTACTTACTGCTTATCAATTGGAACGACATGTTTTACCCTTCGACCAATATACTATGATTCTAATTTGACTTGTATTAATGCAATTTGCCATTTAAGATGTTTTTTTCGGTTGTTTTTTGGGGGGTTTNAGTACTTTTCTCAGCCATTATTGATTTTTCATGTCTTTCCTGGGGATACCATAGTTTTAAAAGAACATAAAACGATGAACGAATTTAGGAAAAAGGATATGCTCCCGCCATAGAACGTTCTATACATTTTTGTTGTTGCATTTCGTTGCTTCATAATAAAATGCATTTCATTGTAAAAATAAAACAAAAGCTACAGAGTGTTAGAAAAAAAGCAAATGTCGCGCCTATCATGACGAAACGCTATTAGATATATCATTCATTACCAAAAATGTGATGGGCCGTTAAGAAACTCATTAAAATATAATAACATTACCCAAAAAATAAGATAAATGTAAATCATATCTAGAGCCGGCGGAATCATGTCTAAGAATTCAATTTAACTGCTTTACATATGAATATATTCATTGGCTAAATTTAATATTCGGGAATAATACTAGTTCATTAACTTTGTTAAGATCCATAAACATATCTATTTAGCAGATATAAATATAACCTGTTGACAAAATCACACTTAGAATACTAAGAATAGGTAGTTCATGCATATTTATTATT